CGTAGTACTGTAAAAAGCACGACCAATCATTTTAGCCGGCCCGGCTAAAATAACTGGATGGCCTACCTGCCTGTCAGCCTTCCATGTGTGCACAAACTTATCTCGTGCCCTCATTGGTCATGTGCGCGTTCGTGTGTGTTGGAGGAGGGGCTCTGTAAGGAAGTCTGAAGGAAGTGGCAGATTTTTTCCGGCTGTGTACTTTCAAATTCTAGCGCACTCGGGCCCACCCACAGCTACGCCACTGCTTATAAATACTCTGTTACAAGTAAAAGTCCAGCATTCAAAAGGTTACTCAAGTAAAAGTACAAAGGTATTAGCATGAACATATATTTAAAAGTACCAAAAGTACTCATCTGCAGATGATATGTTTTATAATTATTGAGGCATTAAAGTGTTCTCAAAGCTGGTAAAGGTGCAGCTAGTTTTAATGACTTTGTATACTGCAGGGCAGAGATGGAGTACTCGAGTGCCGATTTTCGGGACTTGTGACTCGACTCGGACTCGCGCATTGATTGACGCGACTTGGACTTGGACTCGTCAATTCTCACGCACGATGACTTGGACTCGGACTCGTGAATGTTCCCCCCCACGATGACTCGGACTCGGACTCGTACATTGACGCTCCGACTTGGACTCGGACTCGAGCAAGTTTTCTCTGGAGTCTGATGTCCTCTAACCTGGCGTGTGCACCTGCGAGGCGAGTTCACGTACTGGGCCCCGCTATTCCAGTCTAAAGATGTCTAGAGACACACCCCGCATCGTGCTGTATCCTTTCACACATTCTGCTTCCACATTGGAAAAGAGCAGCGCAAAATGCTCGTTATGTGGAAAAAATATTGAAGAGAAGCGAAGGCTCCGTAACACATTACTCTAAGGATCGAGTTCAGACATATAGGCTGTCTTGAACACTATCATCAGAGTAACGTGATCTAATCAATAAATAAAGATTCAGCCGATAACACGAAAGCACATGGCTACTTAGCATGCAGAATGACGTCATTTTGCATGCTAAGTAGCCATGTGCTTTCTGGGGCTCAATCTTTATCGGTAAACCGATTTAACCGGTAAAGGTTCCTTCAAAATAAGAGTCCCGATCTTATTACTATCAAAATAAAAGTGCAAAACGAAAACTTTACCATAGGAAAATATTGTATTACAAATAAAATCACTTCTCTAAAAGGTAACTCATTTTAAATATAGTTAGACATATTATGGGTCATTTACAATAATAATAATAATATTAATATTAGTAATAAGCTTTATATTTGTATAGCACCTATTACAAGAATTGTAGCCAAACTGGCTTCACAGCAGTTCAATAGACAGATTAGTATAACATGACAGGATAAAAGCAATGTAGAGGAGCAGCTACATTTCAACACATATATCCACGAAGATTAATACATGAAGACTTGTGACTCGGACTTGACTTGGACTCTTCTTGGGTGACTCGGACTTGGACTCGGACTCGAACACAGGTAATGATGACTCGGACTCGGACTCGACTCGGACACTCCTTGGGTGACTCGGACTTGGACTCGGACTCGAACACAGGTAATGATGACTCGGACTCGGACTCGACTCGGACACTCCTTGGGTGACTCGGACTTGGACTCGGACTCGACTACGACTCTCCCTTGGTGACTCAGACTTGGACTCGGACTCGAAGAGTGGTGACTCGAGAGTGACTTGGACTCGTGAATTGGTGACTTGACTACAACACTGCTGCAGGGTAGCTTGTGAATTTACTCCAGGTGTAACTAACGTCTAATCTAATGATTATATTTATCATATTATTGATCCAACTCTGTAAAGTAACTAAAAGGTATTAAACAAATGTAGTGGACTAAAAGTACACCGTTTTGAGTAGAAGTACAAAGTAGCATGGAAATACTCAAGTAAATTACAAGTAACTCAAAATGATACTTAAGTACAGTACTTGAGGAAATGTAATTAGTTACTTTCCATACAGCCGTTATCTGATTGGTTGCGTGTCAAAAGGTTACCAGCAATGGAGGTCGATGTTGAAATAATTGTAACTTTGAGCACAGCGATTATTGACAATTTCGAGCACTGTAATTCATAGGGTAGAGCTTCTTCTTAGTCGTCCGCTCATGGAACACAATGGCACGGAGAGCTATGGGGGTTATTCCCTATCTTTATTCAAGAGCGTGGTCTTTAAATTTGAGAGCATAATTGATTGATTTCACGTTCAGATAATGTATTTCTTTCCCTCAAACCCTGTCATCGCACTCAAATAGTGCCTGCTTGCGCTTAGATTTGCTCTGCTTCTGCTCAAACTGTACGCTTGCACTCAGATATATTGCTGCTTGCACAGATTTCCTGTGTTCCAGCTTAAAACCGCACTCAGGCTGTTTCTGTGCGCTCGTCAAATGTCTGCTCTCAGATTTCTGCTGTGCGCTTGGATTTTTGTGTGCAACAACCCTGTCAAAATCCCTCAACCAATAGGAGGCCAGGTGTCCTTGTGGGTGCGTTCGCTTTACTTATTAGAGCGTCCCGTAAGGGCGGTTACTCTTTGGTTTATAAACTCCCGCCCTCCACGGCTTCATTACATATACTTCACTTGTTTCATTTACAACTTTTGGGGGGGAAAAAGCACAGTTAATATATATAGATATATATATATATATATATATATATATATATACCAGCACCTTACTATAATAGCTACATTAATAGTAGCCGTAGCACACCGACAGGAGGCCGTGTGCTGCTGGAGCAGAAAAACAGTCTGGAGGATCGCTGTCCAACATGGAGCCAAAGTAAGTTTTTTTATTTTAATGGTACTATTAACATTACTTCCTTCAAATTAATTTGGTAGTCATATTTGTGGCACATCTATGATAATAATTGGCTTTCAAGTGTTGTACGTTACGTGAACACTGTTGCTAGGCAACTGACAACAACATGTGTTTATTTTTTTCTTATTTCATTGTTTAGGAATAGGGAAATATACAGTTTTCTTCATGTCATTTTTAATGTAAGATAAGCCTCTATCACGACTTTTGGTTCACTATAATACACATTTTTGTTGAGAATACGAAGATTTTTTCAGTTCTTGTCAAGCAAATGTATATGTACTAAGTATGTTACTAAAGAGGTTTTAGATTGGCCAGTGTCCATGTGAAGTTATCGTCATCTCTCGTCGTGAAAACAGTATTTCCCGTGTCTGCGTTTTCATAGTAACGTGGTTGCTAGGGACGCAGCTCTCGCTGCCGGAAATGAGAATTCTCGTCACTGTCCAACACATTCTCACTCCCAACTCGTCCTATACGTCAGGATCCCTTGGCGTCACTATCAACGCAGTGGGGGGCCCTTTTGCGTCGATTTTCAACTATCAGGGAGTCCCATTGACTTGCATAGAGCGACACCCCCCCCCCCCTCTCTCTCTATCCTATCGGAACCATGGATAGCCAGCTATTTGTTTACATGTTTAAAAAAGCACCAGAAGCTTATATATAAACATCTAAGTTTTTCGTGCCCCACCACTTTTGTACATATAAAAACGCCACTGGGTCTTACATTAAAAATGACATGAAGAAAACTGTATATTTACAGTTTTTTAAACTGGAACACTGGAAATATGTGCAAGCAGCAATATATCTGAGTGCAAGCGTACAGTTTGAGCAGAAGTAGAGCAAATCTAAGCGCAAGCAGGCACTATTTGAGAGGTTTGAGGGAAAGAAATACATAATCTGAACGTGAAATCAATCAATTATGCTCTCAAATTTAAAGACCACGCTCTTGAATAAAGATAGGGAATAACCCCCATAGAGAGCCATGTTTCCACTGGTCATGTGAAGGCAGCTCCAGTCCAAGTTCCTGCTGGCTGCAGTGCTCCATTAAAGCTGCTACGCTGGAGCAGCTGATTAAGTCCTGCTTTATGGGCCACCTCACCTTGAACACGGCTTACTTAGTAATACACAAGGGCAGCCGTGACAAATGTTACCTCTGCCTGCAGTGTAGGTAAGTGGAGAGGAACATTAATCTGGAGCGCATGGAAACACAAAGGAAATGGAATTCCAAGCACATACAGTAGTATTGGTACAAAGCGTCCTACAGTGATGCTCTGTTCACATGGTTGAATGGTAGATCCATGTTACGAAACTAGAGTGTGTGCTCATCTATCGACTGTTGGTTACAATCAGCAGCGAAAACACAACATGCTTCATTCACACAAATTTGGAACTCTGAACATTTAAAAAAGCCCAGCTGAGCTTGACAACCCTGTTCACATGGGACAATGTGAATTAAATGCAGTATAACACTGTCTCTAGTAGCAGATTAAAGTTTGGGACTCTTAAGCTCTTAACAGAACTAACACTACTTAAAATAAGTGAAACATTTGGCAGACAGCTTTTCTTGTAGCCTATTGGAAGGATCCTCTCCTCTACACACAGCTCAAATAAACCCATTTCCTCTCAATGGGAAAATCGTTCATTTCCAAGGTGGTTAATCACCAACTCCCAGCCTCACTGCCACCAAAAAGTCCCTTTATCTTCATATGAAGAAATATATTAGTTATTTTAATGGCTTTAGGACCTCACAAGCCTCACAGTAGTGCCTTTTCCATTGTGAAACTAATAATTATTGGTTCTATTGAGAGTCGATTTGGTTCTTGACTTTTTTTCAGTAATATCATTAGAAGATGATTTTTTAATCATTTTCAACAGCTATCATGGGCCGATAGAAACATGCTAGCCTAGCTACATGAAGGCTGCTAACAACCATTAATGCAACACTCACTAGAAAGTAGATATACCAGTCCTCTCTATTCTCTGTCCTGCATAGTCTTGAAATATAGTATGATCCCATTTCCAAAATATAATCTAATATTCAGACCAATATAGTATTTAGCAAGGTCTAAAACTTTGGGGTTGTGTGTGTGTGTGTGGTGTGTGTGTGTGTGTGTGTGTGTGTGTGTGTGTGTGTGTGTGTGTGTGTGTGTGTGTGTGTGTTTTTTCCTTTACTGTACTCACATGTAACGCAGGTGGGGGTTCTTGGAGAAGACACGAGCCTGGATCGAATACAGATTGCTCCTTGTAATCGTTCTATTAACACACAAAAATAGAAACTTGAATAAGACACGATCTGCAGGGACATTATGCTGCTCACTTTGATTTAGTCAAAAGAGTCAAAAAGACAAAACAGTTAATTGAACAGAATTCAGTCTGTTTATCATTTCAATTACATTTTAAAAGGAAATATTTAAAAACCTGTTCAATATGGTTAGTTGCGTTGTTATTTAAAAGTTTAAGTCCATAATTGTATTTATCATAATTGAGTCCCCAAACTCTTTGAAAATGCAATAGTACATTATGGAAGAAAGTTTCTGAAGACATAATATCAGTTGTTAAAACACCTTGGAACTCTCTCTGAGTACCATCCATTCCCTCTCACAATTGTTTTGCTTTCAACTCTGCAGTTTAAGGCCCCGTCCACACGGAGACGATTTTAGTTGTATCCGCTAAAGTTCTTTATCGGAGCCCGAAACCGATACACTTTGAAAACGGCTCCCAAAGTGGGTAAGTCTGGAGACGAAACGCTTGCGGCTCCGTGTGTACGCCCTATACGATAATTTCCTGAATCGATGACGCCATAGCCCCGCCTCTCCCCACCTCTCCGGCTCACCCCCGCGTCATTGCTGCTGCGTTTCGCCAACAACAACAACAACAACAATGGCGGATCACAGGGTTGAGTGATCGACTATTCCTTCGCAATTTAACATCACATTGGATATGGGCTGAACTTGTCCTTGATTGGAGGACTTTGCAAAAATGTGCTTAAAATGCATGAAAAACGCACATTATTCAAAATGGCCGACTTCCTGGGGGGCGGGGCTAATGGAAGGCAATATGAAATATGTCCGCAATTCCATCAGGAATATCTGTGCCAAGATTCGTGAAGTTTGGAGAAACTATATGTGACTACCACACAATAGGGGGCACTACTGAGCTATTTTAACAAAAAATTACGATTTTTTTTTTTTCACATTCTCGAAAGGGTTGTGGGCTGTGACGTGTGTCCCAAGTTTTGCGTCCGAAGCTCATTTTAGCACATCGCAATTTAAAAAAAATGTCTAGGCCACGCCCACATTCGTCATTCGTTGCAACACTTTAAATCTCAGTTCATACTCACCCCCAGAGTACAATTTATTTTGTCCATCCGTTCTTGAGTTATACATTTGTGGTGTTTTTGGCGCCCCCTATAGTCCAAAATGAAAATGCTTTGGTGTGCCTATTCCCCAAGACAGACTGAACCTATCCACCAAAATCTGTGATATTTGGATACATTGTTGATGAGTTATGAGCATTTATTTCTAAGCCCCGCCTTTTTGCAAATACGTTTTGATTAATGGCGGCCATATTTATCGACTGAACATGCTCATTTCCTAGGGTAATGTCTCTGACCCTCCACCGATGCTGTATACTAAGTTTGGTGTCGAAAAACTAAAAATTGAAATTTAAGTGAATATTTCACTGTTTGGAACATTATGCTAATTAAAGGGAGCTAAAATGTAGAGCAGGTCCACCCGGATAAGTGTGCAACATTTCAGGTCAAATGGACTTATGGTGCGACTATGTAAATGTTTCCAAAATTATTTACATATAGGTGGCGCTAGCGAGCATGTTAGACAATTTGAACCCATTGACTCCAGAATGTCAAATTTTTCATCGGTCCTGGCATCCGTGCAAAATTATACAACTTTTGAAGCGTCCTAAAGCCCTCAAAAACAGGGTTCTAAGAACTGGAAGAATAATAATTCCTAGGATAACAATAGCTGTTCAATAATAATGAGCTGGTGAGGACAAAGTGAGGGCTGGTTAAAGAAAGAGAGACAAAGGTCATACCACAAGATTTAACTGGGTTTACAACTGCATCACACCGTTGTGCCCATTGTTTACATGTCTTAGAAAAATAATCGATTCTGAATGGTCAATTTGGACATTCAGCGGCCTCTCCTTTTTTCAGAGCAAACTGTTGCTAAGGAATGCTCAGATTAAGGGACTATGTGGAAACAAACACTAAAGGGAACAGTAGAAGACAGACAGGAAGTAAACACTAAAGGGAACAGCAGAAGACATACCGGAAGTAAACACTAAAGGGAACAGCAGAAAAAGACAGACAGGAAGTAAACACTAACAGGAACAGTAGCAGAAGAGAGGCAGGAAGTAAACACTAAAGGGAACAGCAGAAGACAGACAGGGGGTCGATGCCAAGCTGCTTATTTGTCATTTCCTCCCTCCTCGCTCAAAACACAAGTTGTTCTGGTGCGCCATCTTAAGGAGCGTTCCATGGCACTTATTTGTGCTTGGAGGAGCGAGGATTGAGGGGCGGAGATTGATAACCGAGGAGTGATAATCGAGGAACAATCCTTCTGTGAGATCCTCAGCGCCCAGACATGCCCCCTTACTGTGTACCAGTCACTGATTGGATGCTGCAGCGCATCCACTGATCCGATCAGAGCGGTTTAACAGCGGAGTGAAGACACATACAGATTAAACTCAGGGGAATCTTATGTGCAGGTGTGTGAGAAACAGGTGACACACTGCTGCTGCTCTGGCAGTGATGACTGTCTTTGTATTAGTAGTAGAACAGCGGTCATGTCTGCAAACCCAAACTCTTTCAAATCTCTCTCTGCAGCGACTGACAGCCGATCAGTGATCAGCTGATGATATCATCACTAACGGAAGTCTCTTAACGTGTTGCTCCGAGGAAAGGACGTCTCATTGCTCTTTAAACACTATTCCTTGTGTCCTCTCTCTTCACATGGTTTCCTTGCATCTCTCCATGCATCCCTGGTGGGAGGGACTAAGACGAAAGTGAGGGAAGCATGGATGCAAGTTAGGAACTTTGCATGCAGCTATTAAGTAAACACTTAAGGGAACAGCAGACACAAGAAGACAGGCTGGAAGTAAACACTAACGGGAACATGAATAAAAGAAAGGCAGAAAGTAAAAACTAAAGGGATCAGCACAAGACAGACAGGAAGTAAACACTAAAGGGAACAGCAGAAGAAGACGGACAGGAAGTAAACACTAAAGGAAACAGCAAAAGACAGAAAGGAAGCAAACACTAAAGGGAACAGCAGAAGACAGACAGGAAGTAAACACTAAAGGGAACAGCAGAAGAAGACAGACAGGAAGTAAACATTAAAGGGAACAGCACAAGAAGACAGACAGAAAGTAAACACTAACAGGAACATGGTATGGGCTCTGGCAGTGTTTAAAAACTGGTTAATGGAAAAGAAGATGTTACTGGCTTGGATAGTTACAGAAAACCTTGATCAGTGCTGCCGTCATTTTAAGCTACGTTGCTGTCGGCGCAGTTCCAGCAGTTGCTCCCAGTAAATAAGTAAGTAATAACCGGAAAAGCATGACATGGGACCTTTAAAGCACCACTTGGTCTATGTGCAGCCTCACAGAGCTGTTAGCATGGCTTTGGACTCACATTATGGTTTTGATCATTGAATTGCCTGATGAACTTTAAGGTTCCATAATGATTTCACTTGTTGTCTCTATTGTTTTTGTGAGGGCCACAGCCACATAAAGCAATTACACTTCCCCCTCACCTCCACTAGTTTACCTCATTACAGTTGCACTAAATCACAACCGTAATTAACAACACACATTTGATTCAACTGGTAAACTTTATATTTGCTTGTAACTTGACATTATTTAATTCATTTTCACACATTTTAGCACAGCTAACGCAAGTATTTGTTTGTATTAACGACTTTCTTTGTCTTTGAGTTACCGTGGTCATTGGGGGAGGTTACTTCCTGGTTCAGCAAAAGGCGTGGCTGAGGGCTGATGATGGATAAATACTGCAAGCAGCCGATTGGGCCAAATTGGGATAAACCACATGCTTCCATGTAAAAGAGGGGTATGTGTTTTGTCAGTGTTTTTTTTTTTATTCTGTCAATCTTAATTACCCCTTGTTTTCTATTTTCTTATAAGAGATATTTTCTCTCTTGTATAGGCCTAGTTATTAGATTATTGGTCTATAATGTTTTTTTCCAAATGTGGGTAAAAAAAAAAACACTTTCAATCTTTCAATTAAAAAAATTATCAAAGTAAAGGATCTTTACCTACCACTTAATGTATTCATTTTTTCTGGTAGACATGACACCAACATTAAACTCCAACTACATTGAAACGTTTACAGCTTTGAGCTTGAAGCAATTCTAATGTATGGCACAGTGCACAGGATGTGTTGAATTGACTAAGTTACTTTGAAGTGCATCCTCTTCAGAGCAACAGGCAGCCAATGTTAAGAAGCTCTTAACAGTGTGCATGTGCACTCACTCTTCAGTGCTACTTTTGGAAAACTCTTGTTAGAAAACACTCGACTTCTGGGATTATACTAATCTGGAAGCAGTGCCAAACACCTGACTTTAGCTGTCTCTCAGTTGTGTACTCCTGTACTAACATTTGCAATGTTTAGTGCATAAGTGCTTCCCAATGCAACATATGGAAAAATGCCGTGCAGTATGAGCAACTGGTGCACTAAAAACGGTCAAAAGTGGAGTGTTAAACACTGCATACTTCTTTTGCTGAATGATCGCCATCCTGGCTACGAATGGGAAGTTGTGGGACGAGCTGTGATCGCGGTTGCTTCAGTACTACTTATTTGTATAGTGCAACATAGCACTATACAAATAAAAGACTGTGGTTTTTCTTAGTATTCTACAAATGTATGCTGGTATTGACAAGAAGCCAACATTAATTGTATGGGTTAATTGAGCGATCTGTAACGATTTGCTACCATGAACGATGACGTTGCTATATAGCTAGCTAGCCAAAATCCTTTTTTGTGAGGGCACAGCCATTGTCTGTGTTTAAAACAAGACTACATGGTCTCAATTCACACACAGTGAACAGTTTATAGTGTACAACACACTTTGTACTAAGGGATGTGTCCGAGTTGAGATACAGCGCCTGAGTAACTGACACCATCAGCTCCCCTGATTGTAACAACCCTGCTGAGTGGTGATGTTCCTGCTTATTTGAACAAACCTGGCCTGATTGAAGGCAAAGTGGACAGTACTGTTATTATAAAATGAGAGGAGAAAATCACACCAATGGACAAACTAGATGGGAAATGTTTCATAATGTCTCGATTGCTTTATTAACGAGAACTATTATTTCAAGTGACATTTCACCCTGTAGACGCATTTGGGAAATATTCAGAGATACAGAAGAACATTTTAAACTCACAGCCTCTGTAAGCCGGTGTAGAGCTCCATGTCCACATCCCTCAATGTCTGCAGGCCAGTCCAGTTCTCAATGTGTCTGGAAAAAGGACAGACAAGACATATTAGTAATGTTACAGTGAATTATGTTATTCATTATGGCTAAATCTGCAAATTATATTCCCAATTAATCGATTAAACATCAGAAAATTGTGAGCAAAAACATGCTTAGGGCAAGAAGGATAAGTGATAGACTTCAAAAAAAGATAGAGCAAAGTAACAAAAACCACCCTACTGATTGAGTTGGGGTAAAGCAAAAGGCATCAAAATGCTAAGAAATAACAAAGTGGAATACCTTGAACGACAGAGAAGAGAAACAGAGCAGCAAAGACTAAATACACAAGGGAGGAGGGGAAGGGAAGATTAGGGGGAAACACACTAAGGCAGTGAGTCTCTCCTAAAAAACAAAGATACGTGGCAAATACCCACACCACAGAGAGACCAGAGAATGTTTTTTTGAACTTTTATTGTAATCTTCCAAATAACTTGCAGTTGATTTCAATCTAATTAAAAAATGATTGAAAAATGATTTACTGCGTTTGTGAGTTTTTCATGGTCATATTTCACAAGTGGGCTCAAAGCTGATTTCTGTTGTGGTGCGTTTCTATATAAAGTTAAGGCAAAGATGCACATTGAGGCAAGGTGATGCAAATGACGTGAATGTGAGGTGTGTGTATGTTGTGAAATCACGCTGCCTTGCGAAGGCCAATCAGAATTGAGATTGTCATTACTAACGTTGTTGAAATGGGATAGATCAGCCAGTTCACCTGCACACAGAACTCTACAGTACCTCAAATGTGTCTTGCAGTCAGGCTTTTTATTATAAAGGGCAAATGGAGCAAAGCTCTTCTGACTTATAAAGGCGTTGTTGTGTTATTGTTGTCATAGAAAAAAAAAAAACCCCGCTGGGACGTTTTCTCTGATAAAACGCGAGACTCTCTCCAATGCCCTGCCAGTGCCTTTTTGACAAAAAAAAAGGTGCTCAGGGGACACAGGTACGTACTGGCAGAAGCTTTGTAATATACACACAGGTTTACTACAATCCATTCAAACTGATTCATCAAACCCAATGTGGTTCCTCCACAGTCACAGTGCTCATGTATACTGGTCTGATTTCACTCACTGCTTTGGTTTGTTGGCCGTGAAAGTTTGTAACATGGCCTTGTGGGAGTCCAGCAGCAGAAGCAGCATCGTGGCCCATTTTACACCCAGCAGCGGATGGCAACAAATCAAAACACGCAAATCACATCACACTGAACATCTGTTTACCCCAGAGACCCCCTCCTGGCTCTGACTCTCTGAGTGTGTGTGTGTGTGTGTGTGTGTGTGTGTGTGTGTGTGTGTGTGTGTGTGTGTGTGTGTGTGTGTGTGTGTGTGTGTGTGTGTGTGTGTGTGTTTGTTTGTGTGTGTCCTTACAAAGGTATGCATGCAAAGATCAGTTAGAGGTTCTGTTTGTCCATCTGGCTTCCTGGAATTGATTCACTTAAACACCTCTGCATATTTACTCTATCAAATTGAAATAGCTTTATTGGCATGACCCTAATTACGTACAGTACTGCCAACAAATGTGGCTTTATTTATGTATCACACAAAAGACGAACAGTGTCCAAAGACTTGCCTTAACCCACAAACTGGTGTATGATGGGATAGACTCAAACTGTCATTCCAGTGGGCGTTGCATATTGATTGGCTGAGTTCATTTTTAGCTGTTAGCAGCATCTGCCCCCCCGAGGGCCTGCTGATTGACTTATTGAAAGGGAGATCCATTATCCATTTCACTGTCTAAACACAGCAGTCACTGGTGCCACTGTGAACACACACACACACACACACACACACACACACACACACACACACACACACACACACACACACACACACACACACACACACACACGGATAAGTATTTCCATGGAGTTCTCTCTGTATGGCAGCTTTCTGCAGCAGCTTTTCATCTCTGAATATACAATCTTGTAGAAGGGCCAGTGTCAAAGAAAAAGCTTTGCTTGGTAATAAAGTTGCCTTTTTTGCATAGATTACAGAATGGACTGAACACACTGCAGCCTTTTTGAAATGCAGCTCACACTAGAGCAGCGTTAGCTGGAGCAAATCAAACGTGTACTGAGAAGAGACTTCTAACTGACAACATGCTGTCTTTGGAAACACCACTACTGGTTTTAAATAACAGTGAGGACTACACTGCCACGCGAGTGAAGAAAAACTTGCTTGAGAATCAATGAATCAATAACAAATATATTTCTTTTACCAAGCTACAATGGTGGGGCTGGTGGTCTTTTGTGTATCAAAGTCTTAAGTACCAACCAGTATTCTCTTGGAATTGACTGTGGATATTCACTGCGTCTAGAGGATGACCTTTTCTCTGTACCTTTATTAGGCTCAATATTCTGAAGTACACAAGAGAAATCAAAATGCGCAGAAACCTTTTCTCTCCAAATGTCTTGGCTTCTTCTACTCAGAACATAGCCCATTTGTGTGACCTGAAGAGATTGGTCTCAACTCAAGCCCATGAAGGAGTGAGTAACTTTAGTTCAGCTTAAAAATGTTTCCCAAAAAATATATATATTGATAACAGCGTCTGTTATTGGTTTTTCGGTTATGACCAATCAGGTACCGGTAACAATTTAGTACCGGTTCTCGATACCCTTCCCTACGAGTTTAGAGAGTCTGAAAACATGGCTGATATTAGTGTCTACTAGTATTTGTTCAAATACAAGAAGCTGCTTTTTAAGGAACTGCTTTGTCACTTTATGGACTCAAGAACGTTTTCGTTTCACTGTAAAACTCTTAATAAGTCCCCAGTATTATATAGAATAAGTTACAATTTAAATGCTGATGCCAACACTGACAATCCCCCCCCCCCCCCCCCCCCCCCCCCCCTTTCCCTTCCACATCTTGGCAATTTGTGAAGAGTCAGACCTCTCTCCCCCCCACACACAAACCCTCAATGTTTGCCTGCCAGGACACAGAAGGATCTGCAACATTACAGCAGCCTCCTACGCTCTCTGCCTCCAAAGTGTGAGAGCCACAGAGATGGAGGTGAGGAGAGGGGGAGCAATGATGCTGGCTGAGTGAAAAATAGAACCGAGAGGAGATGGCAGGTGGATTTGAGCTGCATACCAGCATTTTTAAAGAGAACCAGCACCTGAAGCTTTTCTGTTACACAGGATTACTCAGGCTCACCTGCAGGTTCTGTGTATGTCCTTCAGGAATCCTTCCTCCTTCCTTTTCTTTCTGTGTCTCTCTAGTGCCTCCCCCTCTCTCCACTAATGTATTCATGCCTTCTGAAAGGCAACCTGTCATTCAAATAAAGAAAGGTCTCCTGGGGCCAACTAGCTGCTACCATCATCTCCAGCTATCACACACTATTTACAGCAGCCGGAGAAAGAGTGAAAGGATCAAAGATGGAAGAAACGAGAGAAGAAGAGAGATGGCTTAAAGAATTGCTTGTGATTACGTCTGTCTTCAAATGGTGTGTGTGTGTGTTTGAGTGTGTAAGGTGTGAGGGTTGAAACAATTGCTGCGTTTGGTTTCAAACACATTAAACATTCATGAAATTCAATTTGCAAGAGACCAACGTGTGTGTGTGTGAGGGAGGTTGTGGATGGTGTGCTGACATCGAAACAGACGCAGGCACGTTTGAGTATTAAACTGTCTTTGATATGTGTGTGTGTGTGTGTGTGTGTGTGTGTGTGTGTGTGTTTGTTTGTGTAAAAGTTGACAGTACATGATTTCCCATTGCTCCATTGCTTCATGGCCATATGTAGAGAAAATAAGAGGATGCTTTTACAGCATTGCCTCACTCAGATCTGTTGACCTGATGCAAGCCTCAATTAGCGAGCTAGTTATTTACATAGCAGCTAGCCTCGGGTGAAATGTGTTAGCTTAGAACTGTTGTTAGAGCAATGTCTCAATCTGCTAATGTTGTTATTTCAGATACTCTGATGCGCCCTCTGGAGGCCCCCACAGGCTTTGTGTTACAGAACCAACAATTTGAAGATGATGAATTCACTTTCAGTTGAATCTGATTAAGAGGCTACATTCATTCTGAGGTCCACTTACCAGCGGTAAAACGGCTCTGCAAGGACGTTACAGTTATGTTTCTAAGGAGAGCAGTGCAACCGAAGGACACAGAGCACAATTCAGCTATATATGTATCTACTCTTTGCCTAAATTAGCATTTTTAAGTACTGTAGACAAGAAATAGAGTGGAACATTACTCAAATACAAGCTACAAAATATCTCTTCTGACACCTACAAGATGTCTAAACTGCGATACGGCTCCCGCTGCTCCAATTCTCCAGTCCATCTCAAGCTCTTTTGTCCCCTAAAACTAGAACAACACCCTGAGATACTTGAACTCCTTCACTTGGGGTAAGGACTCATTCCCTGCTTGAAGAAGACTTTGTTTTCCTGCTGAGAACCGTTGTCACAGATTTAGAGGTGCTGACATAGAACAACAGAAAAACATAGTTGTAAGACTGAGGAGTTGGGGCTGATGGCCTTTATCGGGGTCATTACTCTACAACCACGACCAGTCTGCTGCAGAGGCACCACCAATGACCTCCCCTCACTGCCCAGGTCTCCCACAGCTCGTAAAGAGGCCATCACTGATGAGGTAGCAAGATGTTCATGAAGATAAGAGGACCATTGGCTTTGATTGAGTCCAAGTATTTCAGAACAGAAAGATGATGCACTGCCACAAAGATGAAGACTTCGCTGTAGGTTTTCATGTTCAGACCTGACTCTGTTGAATGTGCTTTAAGCAGGCCACACACACACACACACACACACACACACACACACACACACACATACACACACACACACACACACACACACACACACACACACACACACACACACACACACACACACACACACACACACACACACACACACAGAGACATAACAGACAGACTTGCACTGATCTGGTGATCTCCTCGCTGCTTTGTTTGGACATACATTTTTTCTGTTGAGACTCATTGATATTCTTCAACTCAAGCTGAATCTAAGATGTGT